ACACGAACACAGACACCACGTAAACACACACACACACACACACACACACACACACACACACACACACACACACACACACACACACACACCTCTCTCTCACACACACACACATGATACAGAGTGTATACAGAGCGTACACAGGCCGCACATTAAAAAATCTAACGAATGCGCAGCTAGCGCACGGAACGAATGGTCCGCGCATGCACCGCGCGTTCAACGCACAGCCAGCGAAGGTCTGAAGTGGTTCTTCTAGACACGATCAGCCGGAACCTCTGTCATCACCCATGAGGGTCGGAGGAGAAGTGATGATGAGGAGGTGGGGGCGGGACCCGTTTATATACTCCATGGCTACACGCTGCGTACACGCTAGGAACACGCTAGAAGAACGTTGGGCGCGCTACAGGCTCGTTCAACACTCGTTCAGCACGCCCATATTCGCTGCATATTCGCTGGACATGCGTTAGAAGCACGCTAGGTGTGCGCTACCCTTCAGCCGACGAACATACAACGAATACCCAGCGTGTGCTCCGCGTGTGTCTGGCGTTGGTCCAGCGCGCTCTGCGCGTGTCCCTTCTGGCGTGTACATTCATGAGTCGAGCTCCGCGCACAATTTTGAACATGCTCAAAAATCCCGACGCACACGCCGCGCACGAGCGAATGACAACGAATACATAGCGTTGGTCCAGCGCGCTCGACGAACGAGTAACGAATGCTGACGCACACCCAGCGAACGACAACGCACTGGCCAAAATTGCTGATTTTTCAGTGCGCGGGCCGTGCGTCGTGTATGTGTGACTGGGGCATTACATAAGGCGCGCGTTTGTTGACAGTGACGTCAGGCAATGGGCGGGTTAGAGCCATTTTGCGTGAAATTGCGTTGGTCACCTCGTAATTTCTCAGATTTCTCAAGGTGCATGGAACATTTTACCAATTTAGTGGTGTCAGTTAGTCATGGATATGTCGCAGTAAGTACTAACAGTAGATATTTCACATACGTTCACCCATTTTTTACTCAGGCGGTCGATCATTGCAAAAAATAGAAAAACGCTGATTTCTCCGTTCCAATTTCTGACTTTGTAGTCGATGTATAAGTGGATATTTCTCTGTTATTACAACTCGGAATAATTACATTTTACACTCGTTTTAATGGTAACATATTGCTGTAAAAAAGCGCGCCAGGGATTGTTATTAAGTGCCGTGTTTTATGAGTTATCTCTTTATTCGCAAAAATTTTAAATTCAAACGTGCGACTTTAATTTTAGGCAGTTTTTTAATTTTTCTCGGTAAATATGAAACGAATCCTGATGCGCTATTTTGGTACATATTGTGCTTAACATGTGGCGAAAATTTTGTATCCTCACTCTTTCTGGCAATTGATAAATATCTAAAATACTATTTTTACATAAAAATTCAAAATTTGTGTGGTAACAATTTGGTGCTGGAAATTGCATGAATTTTTTTTCATAGGCTTGATCATAGAGATATATCTCCTCTATAAATAAAATAAGTGATTGATTAGACTCATTCGTCAATAAACGTTTAATCTTCATTAGAGCAATACCCGTGCAAAAGGTGGAGAGTATCCTTAACGATGTAGACGAGCTATAGGAATAATGGGTTGTTATGAAAACATTTCCAAATATTAGCAAATATTTTAATTTATAAGCAAAAACTTTCAACATTCTGCTGACAACAACAATGCTGTCAACCTGCTTACAATGTTCCAGAACATATATAAGGACTTGCTGCTGCTAGGCTTTTGTGTGCGTGTGAATTAGTGGTTATAAGAACGCATGAACACGACTTCAGGGATGTTTTCAATGTGACTGTATTAAAGATGTAATTTTCTGCTGCCAAGGTTCTTACAATTCGCATATCTCTTTTACACACACACGCGCGCGCGCGCGCGCGCGCGCGCACGCACGCACGCACGCACGCACACTCACCGACACATCTACTAGACAAATGTGTCACTCCACTTGCGTTGTACAACTGACTGTTATCCATAAGTTTGCCCACTGCATGTAGTACACCGAAGTAAAGCAACTAATTCAAGAGATTCGATTTGTTTTCAGTTTGTCGGTTTGGAAAACACAAACACAATTAAGTGTCGACGTCAATGATAATTTACCGCGTAAACTCGGGACATAATTCTCTTGTAAAATGCACAATAACAACACAGCGTGCGACGGGTAATATTAAGCAACGTGTGATTCCGCAACGAATTCATAGTGGAACACCGAATACAAGTAGCGAACGCGAATGAAATACTGCCAAATTACCGTATAACAGACCAATAAATCTGCAATATCACTTTCTACACGGGGACGACTAAGACTAACAGCAGTCAAAACTTATTATTCATCAAGAAATATCAATCGTTGTAGCCTTGCAATATTTTCGGGAAAGAAGTACAACAATATTCATTACTGTATAGGCGCATGTATAATATATACCACAACTAATATACACAATAGTATCTGTATGTTTAATAAATAGTACAACTGATATGCGTAGCATATTTCACGTAAATACTTATCCACCCACGTTCCATCGCGCATGCCTGAACTGCAAGTCATCAACATCACCTTCAACACTCTATCAGACACGTAAGTTTTCTTACTGAAAACACACACAAATTATGCATAACTGCTAAAAGCTTAGATGCTTCTGAAGGGTTTTTCGTAAACAGACAGGTAAATATGTAAGTCAGCAATCAGCAGTACATGACTATATATAGTACTGGCATCATGACTGGACCGAAGATAAATTACAGTAATGTTACAGATAAATTTATACTATTTAACGTACAATGTGACAGATAAAATTTTGTACCATTTAACGTAAAATGTGACAGCTAAATATGCACTGACTGCTAATAGGGGCATGTTGCATTGCAGCTCCATCTAGTGAGGGCGTTGCACGGTGGGCCTGCCTGCTGGCAAGCTAGACCGATCTCAGAAATACAGTTACGAGCTGAACGAGGCAGAAGCCACAGCCGCTACCCTATGAGACGTGGGCATCTATTGTCGAGATAATGGAACATTGGGCGTTGCATTTACAGCAAACACGACACAACTCTGTAAACTCGAGAATTAGTGGAACAAATGGCGAGGTTGCAATCACGAGAATTCTTCAACAAACACACACGTCTGTTTCTTAAATAGAATAAATACAATTTCCGCCACCACAAACAGACCCCCCCCTCCGGGGGATAGTAATTCAGACACACGCATCGCGCGTGTGTGACTACGCGAATATGCACACTAGAATTTATGTGAGATAAGATTGAGTTACATTGCACGCGTGCATGAGTCCACGTTCACACAAGACTCGTGACAGCTTGGCGTTTTCACACTGTGTTTACATGCACCTCCCCCCTTAACTCGAATCAATCTACTCTTTGTCTTTTCTCTTTGTCCAATCTCCTAGATCTCTGCCGTCCCTATGCACGCACGATCACACGGATGCATGCATGCACGCACTTCTCCACCAGCTTCTCCTCCTACTTCTCCACCAGCCTCTCCCCTCCTCCTTCTCCACCACCTTCTCCCCTTCCTCATTCTCCACCAGCTTCTCCCCCTCCTCCTTCTCCACCAGCTTCTCCCCTCCTCCTTCTCCACCACCTTCTCCCCTTCCTCATTCTCCACCAGCTTCTCCCCCTCCTTCTCCACCAGCTTCTCCCTTCTCCCCCTCCTCCTCCACCAGCTCCCTTCTCTTCCTCCTTCTCCACCAGCTTCTCCCCCTCCTCCTTCTCCACCAGCTTCTCCCCTCCTTCTCCACCAGCTTCTCCTCTTCCTCATTCTTCACTAGCTTCTCCCTACTTCACCTACTAGTACTACTCTAAACTTCCTCCTCCCTCCCCCTCCCCGGCCCTCCCTACGGCTACACTGCTCCTTCGCTACCCTGTACCAGAACTTGGTATTTTACACAAACATTCAAGTGTACACAACCTATATGGCTATCGTAACACAAGACGAGCTGTCATTGGTCGGGTCGGGGCGGGGCTATCTCAGATATTTCGCACTCGTCAGATATTTCGCGCGACACCGCAAACCAGTCTAACCAAAGCGTGCAAGCTGTGGCAAGCTATAGACAGTACGTATATATACGTACAGTACATGATGATTTGTTGCGTATATTTTACTTTATTATCTTATCCTTATACCTAGAGAGTTTTTGCAGCCTGTTATTTAAAAGCAGCAGCATGAGTTTTTGCCGCTTGTTTACGTGATGATGTGCAAGCGCGTAGCCAGGGGGGTCCTGGGGGCCCTAGGACCCCCCAATCAAAAAAATTAAAATAAAATAATGGCCTAAGCCAGTATTGTCAACAAAACAGCGTCTAAATTGATTTGAAAGCACAATTTTTACATTTAACTCAAAAATATATATTTTAGACCACCAGACTTGTTACTCGCTCAAGGACCCTCCAATCCAAATTCCTGGCTACGCCCTTGATGATGTGTACCACGTACTGTGGCGAGTGCTGGGTGAACTTTGACCTAACGTCGGTCGCTGTCGCTGCAGTGTGTTTACGCCAGTCGCCGCGACTTTTGTCGTTTGTCGTTACGGTCAGTTGCTGTTGCTGCAGTGACAGTGTGTCTTAATTGCCCTTTAAAGGGCCAAAGTCTGGTAGGAACTTTTATTAGTTTGGCCCAGAACCCTGCGTGCTGATCATTGAGATGGATTGTCAGCTCATAGCACATGGTACTATATTTGGGGGCACTTTGCTGGCACACACCTACCGATCAACATAGTTTTTGCACTTCTGGGTCTCTGGAATTGCCAGGTATTTGCAGCACCTGTAAATTTCAGACTGAGCATTCTTGATAGCAACTAATAAGTACAAAGCCGTGTCCCTTGAATTAGATTCATACTGTGAAAAGTTGAGAATTTGCATAGAGTAAACACGTCTAGTCTTGTGATTAGGTTGATCTTGCTCAGGTGATAATAATTTAGGTTCAACTTCAAATACATGTTGTATACTTTTTTCCCTGTAGGTTGTTGTTCAGCCACCATTAACTACAACAACTACCACAGTTGTGTAAGTACATTTGCACTATCTGCAAGAAATGTAAATGGGAGTTAAGAACATTATGACCGTATTTCATATTTATGTCATTTTTTGAGCATTAAGAAAGTGAAAATGGAAAACAAAGCTAAAATGTTGAAAATTGCAGAGCTCCCTCTGGATGTATTAAGCCAAGACTTGAGTCACCAAATTTATTTTTAGCCACCAATGAAAAACTTTGGCCACAGTTCACTTTATCGTATGTGCTAAGCAAGGCATAAATAGGTGATGGGTATGGGAAAAAGATGTACGAAAACATTTTACGACACAACACTAAAATTTGACAATTTCGTTATTCAAATGTAATTGTGTGAGCAGTTAAACCATTCGCCATTTGTATATGGCTCTTTATGTTACTGTAGTAAATATTCATCGCGTTTTGCGAAGGTGGCGAACGCCAAGGGTAGCCCTGCATCGGATTTATGTTTCTAGAAATCAATAGTAACAGTTTAGTGAATTTATTTATTAAGACATTTATTTATATTTATTGGCATGTCAGGCATAAACAAGGGGTCAACCACTGTCTCCACTGCTGCATTAGCATCTTCTGTTTCCCGTGGATCATTGTTTGGATCTGTCTGGTGAGAAGGCATTCGTTGTACATTTACATGCAGTGAGAATAGTAGAAGGCCAACATTCAGAACTGTAAAGGTTCAGACAGACATTATGTTTATATGCATTTATTTAACATTACAATTTGAAATATTGTAAATATGAAACCATTCTTTTTATGTAGTCTCTATTCTCAATAAATTTTTGTGTCAACTCCATAGAATTCTATTAAATTCATTCCCATGTTTCAATAGATTTCTGATAGAATATTAATGATTTTGTTTGCAGTGCATGGCCGAAGATAACGAGACGACCCAGCGATCTATAGTGGTACATCAGTAATGCTTCTCAGATACTCTAGGACCAACATAACGCTAGACTGCATGCTTTAAAATATATTAAATTTTATAATAAAAAAAATTAGCACATTATTTTATGATTATAAATTGATGACTTATTAGTTCTCATGGTGTGTGAACTAGATTGTATTGAATTTTATCATGACACATTTAATTAAGTTTTAAATGCAAGAAAATGTTACTTTTACTGTGTATAAAAGATTGGGAATCATGGATGATAAAAGCACTAATATATACTTGTTATACTTATATCTATTCATACAAAATGTATTCCAGAACACGAACAAGTTTTCTAAGATATGTTAGTAATTCCAATTATTTTGTCCAAATTAAAAATTAGGCCATAAAAATTATGTAAAACGTGTTGTGCTTATTCTATTATTTTTCAAGGCAGCATCAAGGTAGGTAGTATAGGATACATAGTAATAGGACTATGAAAGATTAACTCTGCATTAACTCATTATAACAGCATTAACTCTGCATTCTGCAGTTCTCGTCTTGTAAAGTAGATAAGGTGCATTACATCACTTGATCTCTGTTCAGATATAATAGTAAGACAGTGAGAATAATGTATAGTAAGCAGAAATAACAGTAACAATGCAATAATGTTAATATAGCCCTTGTAAAATTATGCATGTGACAGTTAATTTAAAATTATTTAGGATAATTTCTTCAATAAGTTGTATTGATTCAGGAAACCTCAAGGTTTTATTCAAACTGGCCGTCAAGTCGTAGGACCTACTCTGGTGCTCTCAACCTTTTCAATTTCTAATGGATATAGTTGTGAAATAGGTGTTAATTTTGTCAATGTGTACCTAGTTAAAGCACAAGCATTTTCACGATTGGGGCTCAGACTCAAGGCCGTAGCTAGGACAACAAATTACCTGAGGCAAAACATTTTTTTGGACCTGAGGCAAACACATATTTTGGACCTTTTTCAGTCATATTAAATATATATTGCAGAACACAACACCATGCAGCAATTGAAGTTACCAAACAAATTTTATTTTGAAATATAAAATTAACCCGTAAAATATTACATATTGATTCTCTCAAGTTATAGCAGAGAACATGAATAAAATCAATATCAATACAATAAACAAACTGCTGCGTAACTGATCGCTTAACTGGCAACACAAATAAGATATAATTATATGTCAATATTGCATCATAATATAAAATGAATGATTTTAGACACTTTCCTTAAGTTTCGAATAACCTGGTTAAATATGACAAAAATATCATCAAGCTTTCAAAATGGGTGTGAAACTTTTTTGATCTGACAACAAACTAGAATGTTTTACATAACTGTTGAAAGGCAAAAACCAGTATAATTATTCCAAGGATAACTAAATTGTACTTAAATCTATGTGGCAACTTTGGCACCAAAGAATAATAATTACACAAAACACAAATGTAAAATGAATCTGTGAAATAAAAGTAAAAATGAATAAAACATAACATATGCTAATATTATAATATTCAAAATAACAAAGCAAAACAAAATTGGCTTTAGAATAGAAATGGTATAACTGCAATAAAGAAACTAGAACAATTAAATGGGTTGTTTAACATAAACTTAACTGTAGGATATTTGGCATCAATAAATACAAAAATAAATAATACAAGCTGGAATTGCAAACACAATGGAATTGATATTATACCATATGTTTAACAAACACAAATTAGAATATACAATGTAACATTATGTTACTATTAGCAATTACAAAACTCTGTGAAACAAATGTGTAAACATTAGGGATTACAACACCTCAATACAGATAGTAATAAGATAGTACTCTAAATTATTTGATATAATTCCCAGATAACATGCTGACGTTGGGCCAACGTTGGGCCAACGGCTGTCTTCAGCTCATGCTAACGTTGGGCCAACGTTGGCTGCCAACGTTGATCCAACGTCTTTTTGCTCAGCGTGCCAACGTTGGGCCCAACGTTGGCCCAACGGCAGTCGGCCAACGTTGGCCCAACGTCATATTGCCAACGTTGGCCCAACGTCAGACAGCCAACGTTGATCCAACGTCTTTTTGCTCAGCGTGCCAACGTTGGGCCCAGCGTTGGCCCAACGGCAGTCGGCCAACGTTGGCCCAACGTCATATTGCCAATGTTGGCCCAACGTCAGACAGCCAACGTTGATCCAACGTCTTTTTGCTCAGCGTGCCAACATTGAGCCCAACGTTGGCAGCCAACGTTGGCCCAACGTCATATTGCCAACGTTGGCCCAACGTCAGACAGCCAACGTTGATCCAACGTTTTTTGCTCAGCGTGCCAAGGTTGGACCAACGTCAGACAGCCAACGTTGGCCCAACGGCTTTTTGCTGAGCGTGCCAACGTTGGCCCAACGTCAGACAGCCAATGTTGGCCCAACGTCATTTTGCCAACGTTGGCCCAACGGATTTTTGCTCGGCGGGCCAACGTTGGCCAAACGTCGTATTGCCAACGTTGGCCCAACGTCTGACAGCCAACGTTGGCCCAACGGCTTTTTGCTCAGCATGCCAACGTTGATTTCCCCCTCAAACACTCCCTATTTGGTTCTCTC